TGATATTTATTCAGTTTCAGGTTGTAATAACATTTTCTGTTCCTTGGTCCAAAAAAATAATGAGGGGAATGGTGCTGATGAAAAATGCGGTGCTTACGGCAATTTTAACGTGTTTCAGGGCCCATTCTTGGTCTAGGGGTTTTGGGTTTAGTGTTATTATAAGTGGTAGTACTAGGACTGTAAGGGTAAGGAGGAGGGTGGTAGTCATAATATTTGCCATAGCTCCTACTTGGAGTTGCACCAAGAGTTTTTGGTTCCTAAGACCAACGGATGAGCTATTATCCTTTAGGAGCTTCGAATGAGCCACGGAGTTTAACCGTGATAATAGGGATTAGCAGTCTCTATGGCCTAGGGGCCTCTTTCGGTGGATAAGGGGGGTTTAACCTCTGTCTTTAGAACCACAATCTAATGTTTTATATTAAACTATATCTACAGTATCATCAGCCTCATATGATCTCAGGCTTTGTGATGAGGAGAGCAACTGGGAGGAGGTGAAGAGTAATTAGTAGATGTTCTCGTGTATGGAAGGGTTGAAGGTTAATAATATGTTGTGGGAGTGGGCCTCGTTGGGTTATTAGAAATAAATAAAGTGAATATGCTGCGGTAATAAGTGTGCCGGCTCCAGTCAAAACTAGGGTTCATGGAGATCAGTTAAATAGAGCAGTAATAATTACAAGCTCTCCTATAAGGTTGGGCAGGGGGGGAAGTGCTAAATTTGCCAGATTTGATAAGAATCATCAAACAGCGGTCAGGGGAAAAATAATTTGTAGTCCCCGAGCTAATATTATTGTTCGGCTATGGGTTCGTTCATATGTAGTGTTGGCCAGGCAGAACAGGGCGGATGATACTAGGCCGTGGGCAACTATTAGTACGAGGGCCCCGGTAAAGCCTCATGGGGTCTGAATTAAGATACCGCCTGCAACAAGACCTATATGGCTTACAGACGAGTAGGCAATTAGTGACTTTAAATCGGTTTGTCGAAGGCAAATAGAACCTGTTATAATAATTCCTCACAGGGCCAGAGCAATGATGGGGTAGACTATGTCTTTAGATAGGGGGTCCAGGATTACTATTATACGTATTATACCGTAGCCTCCAAGTTTTAGTAGGATTGCGGCTAGTACCATTGATCCGGCTACGGGGGCCTCTACGTGGGCTTTTGGCAGTCAGAGGTGGACTCCATATAGAGGCATTTTTACTAGGAAGGCGATTAGGCAGCCTGCTCATCAAATTTTGTCTCCTCAGGAGCTAAGGGCCATAGGCTGTGAATATTGAATAATAAACATAGAGAGGGAGCCTGTGGTTTGATATAAAAGGAGGAGCGCAACCAGTAGGGGGAGGGAGCCGGCTAGGGTATAAAATAGAAAATATGTTCCTGCACTTAACCGCTCGGCTTGATTTCCTCAGCGGGTAATAATGATGAGAGTAGGGATGAGGGTTGCTTCAAATATGACGTAGAACATGATGATTTCGGTGGCCCCAAAGGCTATAATTAGAAAAGTTTGCAGGGAGGCCAACAGAGTAATATAGCTTCGTTGGCGGGAGGTGGGTTCAGTTTTAACATGGTTTTGGCTGGCGAGAATTATAAGGGGGAGGAGTCAACATGTGAGTACTAAGAGGGGGGTTGATAGGGGGTCTGTGCCCATATATGTGTTAGAGGATGCCCAGTCTGTTTCTGAAGGTCAATTAATTCAAGTTAGACTAAACAGGGCGATAATTAAACTTTGAAGGGTTGTGGTGGCTCAGAGCCATTTGGGGGAAGAGAGTCAAATTGTGGGAAATAGTATTATTGTTGGAATAAGAATTTTTAGCATTGTAGTAAGTTTAGGGACTGTAGGCGATCCGTGCCGTGAGTTCGGGCTGTGGCAACTAGCAGGGCTAGGCCCGCGCTAGCTTCACAGGCTGAAAAGGCTAAGAGTAGAATAGGGGCAGCAGAGAAGGCAGTCGTTTCTAGTTGAAGTATTCAAAGGGCAAGGGCGATGAATAAAGATAATATCATGCCTTCTAAGCATAGTAGGGCCGAGAGCAGATGGGTACGATGAAATGCTAGTCCTGTGAGTCCTAGGATAAATGCTGAGGTAAAGCTGAAGTAAACTGGTGTCATAAGGGGACCGCGGAATTAAACCGCGGTTTTCTGAGTCGAAATCAGAGGTCTTAGTTTGGACTAGTCCCCTATTCGGCCCATTCTAGGCCTCCTTGTATTCACTCATAAATTAAGCCTAGGGTGAGTAGAATTAAGATAGTTGCAGCTCATAAAAGGGTACATGTGGGGTCAAGTAATTGATTTCCCCATGGAAGTGGGAGAAGAAGGGCAATTTCTAGATCAAATAATAAGAATAAGATGGCGACTAGAAAGAAGCGTAAGGAAAATGGTAAACGTGCAGAGCCTAGTGGGTCAAAGCCACATTCATATGGGGAAAGTTTTTCTGCGTCGGGGTTTATTTGGGGCAATCAAAATGATACTGTGGCCAAGATTAAAGAGAGAATAATAGTAATAAGTATAATTGCTATAATTAAGTTCATTATCTTTCCTTGGATTTTAACCAAGACTAGATGATTGGAAGTCATTCGTACTAACTTTAATACTAGAAAGATATGAGCCTCATCAGTAAATAGAGACGTATAAGAATAATCATACAACATCTACGAAGTGTCAGTATCAGGCGGCGGCTTCAAATCCAAAGTGGTGTTCTGACGTAAAGTGATACTGGATTTGTCGAAGGAGGCAGATAGCAAGAAAGGTTGAGCCAATGATAACGTGAAGTCCATGAAAGCCTGTTGCTACGAAGAAAGTTGAGCCATATACTCCATCTGCAATAGTGAAAGGGGCCTCGTAGTATTCCATGGCTTGAAGGGCAGTGAAGTAGAAACCTAAAAGAATTGTAAGAGCAAGGGATTGAACTGCTTGCTTTCGTTCTCCTTCTATGAGGCTGTGGTGGGATCATGTTACGGTAACCCCCGATGCCAGCAGCACTGCTGTATTAAGAAGGGGGACTTCAAATGGATCAAGAGGAGTAATACCGGCGGGGGGTCAGCATCCTCCGAGTTCTGGGGTTGGGGCGAGGCTGGAGTGGTAGAATGCTCAAAAAAATCCAAGAAAGAAAAATACTTCAGAAGTAATGAATAGGATTATTCCGTACCGCAAGCCTTTTTGGACTGGGGGCGTATGATGTCCTTGGAAGGTGCCTTCTCGGATAATATCTCGTCATCATTGATATATGGTAAGAAGTAGTAGAATAAGTCCCAGTGTTATTAGAACAGTTGAGTGAAAGTGGAATCAGATTGCTAGACCTGATGTTATTAGGAGTGCAGCTACTGCTCCGGTGAGGGGCCATGGGCTTGGGTCAACCATGTGGTATGCGTGTGCTTGGTGGGCCATTATACGTTTTCTTGTAAGTATAGACTCAGTAAAAGAACAAATACGTAGGCCTGGATAATGGCTACTGCAATCTCTAGAAGTGTTAGCAATACTAAAAGAATGGCGGTGAGAGCTGCTACTGTAGTTATTATTGGCATAAGGGTAATAGTTGCTGTAGAAATTAGTTGAATAAGTAGGTGGCCGGCTGTAAGATTAGCTGTAAGTCGGACTCCAAGTGCCAAGGGGCGAATAAAAAGGCTAATGGTTTCAATAATAATTAGAATTGGGATTAAGGGGGCGGGGGTCCCTTCTGGTAGGAGGTGCCCTAGGGCCGCGGTGGGTTGATTTCGGAGTCCAATAATGACTGTGGCTAATCACAGTGGGACGGCTAGTCCCATATTTAGTGATAGTTGTGTGGTGGGGGTAAAGGTATAGGGTAGTAGCCCTAATATGTTTAGGGTAAGAATAAAAATTATTAGTGAGGCCAGAATTAGGGCTCATTTGTGTCCGCCCGGATTTAGTGGGGTGAGCAGTTGTTGTGTAAAGGTTTTAATAAATCAGCTTTGTAGCGAGATTAGTCGGTTGTTTTGATAACGGGCGGTCGGAGATGGAATTAAGATTCATGGTAGGGTGAGTGCAATGGCAATTAGTGGAATGCCTAGGTGTGTGGGGCTTATAAATTGGTCAAACAGGTTTAATGCCATGGTCAGTTTCAGGTATCTGATTTAAGGTTTTCGGCGTTTAGTGCTGTAATTTCATTTGTGAAGGTGTGGTTTAGGACTTTGTTTGGAATTACTGTTAGGAAGATTAGTCACGAGAATACAAGAATTGCAAATCATGGGGCGGGGTTTAGTTGTGGCATGTCACTAGGGGCGGTTGGGGGCCGCCAATCTTTAGCTTAAAAGGCTAATGCTAGGCCCTATTTAGCTTCCTAGTGAGGCGTCTTCAAGCATAAGAGAGGATCAGCCTTCAAAGTGTTCTAGAGGAACGGCTTCTACAACAATAGGCATAAAACTGTGGTTGGCCCCACAAATTTCAGAACATTGTCCATAAAATACTCCGGGGCGGGAAGTAATAAAAGATGCTTGGTTAAGTCGTCCTGGTACGGCATCTATTTTAATGCCAAGTGCGGGAACGGCTCAGGAGTGAAGGACATCTTCAGCTGATACCAGAACTCGAATTGGGGACTCTATTGGGATTACTATTCGATGATCTGTTTCAAGTAATCGGAATTGTCCTGGGGCAAGGTCTTGTGTAGGAATTATATATGAATCAAAGGCCAGGTTTTCGTAGTCAGTATATTCATAACTTCAGTATCATTGGTGACCCATAGCTTTTACTGTTAAATGGGGGTCATTTACCTCATCCATTAGGTAGAGGATTCGGAGAGAAGGAAGGGCGATTAGAATAAGAATTACTGCCGGAAGGATGGTTCAAACAATTTCAATTTCTTGGGAGTCCAAAATATATTTATTGGTGAGTTTGGTGGTCACTATAACAACAATAATATATAAGATTAAGGTGCTAATTAGGAAAACGATTATTAAGGCATGGTCGTGGAAGTGCAGAAGTTCTTCTATTACAGGGGAGGCCGCGTCTTGGAATCCTAGTTGTGAGGGATGTGCCATTAAGCTGTGAGGCTTAAGATACGCAGGATTTCAACCTACAATTTTGCCTTGACAAGGCAAGGTATTGTTCAATTATACTAGTATCTTATAGAAGAAAGTGACAGAGTGGTTATGTGACTGGCTTGAAACTAGTTTATGGGGGTTCGATTCCTTCCTTTCTCGTTAGTTCGTTTGCACTTGTACGAAGGCTGGCTCTTCAAATGTGTGGTAGGGAGGGGGGCATCCATGTAGTCATTCTACATTTGTAGAAGTAAGCTCAACGGACAGTACTTCTCGTTTGGCAGTGAAGGCTTCTCATAAAATATATAAGAATATTACAACTGCTACTAGGGATACTAAGGAGCCAATAGAGGAGATAATATTTCATAATGAATATGCATCGGGGTAGTCTGAGTATCGCCGGGGCATGCCCGCGAGGCCTAGAAAATGTTGTGGAAAAAAGGTGAGGTTTACTCCTACAAATATTGTTCCAAAGTGGATTTTTGTTCAGGTATCATGCATTGTGTATCCTGTAAAGAGAGGGAATCAGTGGACGAAGGCTCCCATGATAGCAAAGACTGCACCCATTGATAATACATAGTGGAAGTGGGCTACCACATAATAAGTATCATGTAATACGATGTCTAGAGATGAGTTGGCCAGAACAATTCCGGTAAGCCCCCCTACGGTAAAGAGGAAGATGAAGCCTAGGGCTCAGAGCAGGGGTGTTTCTCATTTAATGGACCCTCCGTGTAAGGTGGCGAGTCAGCTAAATACTTTTACACCGGTTGGGATTGCAATAATTATTGTTGCGGATGTAAAATATGCTCGAGTGTCTACATCTATACCTACTGTAAATATGTGATGAGCTCATACGATGAAGCCTAGAAGGCCAATGGCCATTATAGCTCATACTATTCCCATATAGCCGAACGGTTCTTTTTTGCCTGCATAATATGCTACAATATGAGAGATCATGCCGAAGCCGGGTAAAATTAAAATATATACTTCAGGATGGCCGAAGAACCAGAAAAGATGTTGGTATAAAATAGGGTCCCCTCCTCCTGCCGGGTCAAAGAATGTGGTGTTTAAGTTTCGATCAGTTAGAAGTATTGTAATACCAGCCGCTAAGACTGGGAGAGATAATAATAGGAGGACAGCTGTGATAAGAACAGCTCAAACAAATAGGGGCGTTTGATACTGTGAAATTGCGGGGGGCTTCATATTGATAATAGTTGTAATAAAATTAATGGCCCCTAGAATAGATGAGACCCCTGCAAGGTGAAGTGAAAAGATAGTTAGATCTACAGAGGCTCCTGCATGTGCAAGGTTGCCAGCAAGTGGGGGATATACAGTTCATCCTGTTCCCGCCCCTGCTTCAACTCCGGAGGAGGCCAGCAGGAGGAGGAGGGATGGGGGGAGGAGTCAGAAGCTTATATTATTTATTCGGGGAAAAGCCATGTCTGGTGCCCCAATCATAAGGGGTACGAGTCAGTTTCCAAATCCCCCAATCATAATTGGTATTACTATAAAGAAAATTATTACAAAGGCGTGGGCAGTAACAATAACATTATAAATCTGGTCATCGCCGAGAAGGGCACCAGGTTGGGCTAGCTCTGCCCGGATAAGCAGGCTAAGGGCTGTGCCAACTATTCCGGCTCAAGCACCAAATACTAGGTAGAGGGTGCCAATGTCTTTGTGGTTGGTTGAGAAAAATCAGCGCGTGATCGTCACAGGTAGGGTGGCCGAGAGTTAGGCGGCGGATTGTAGCTCCGTGAACAAAGGTTTAAGTCCTTTCCCTATCATAAGCCTTGTGGTGTATTCACATTAGATTGCAAATCTTAAGAAGCAGGCTAATCGCCTGCCGGGGCTTTCCCCGCCTTTTTGGCCGGGGCGGGGAAAGTAGATGAATGCTCGCTGGTTTGAGTACCTAGCTGTTAACTAGGAGTTTGTAGGATCGAGGCCTTCTCATCTAGAAAGGCTTTAGCTTAATTAAAGTGTCTGGGTTGCATTCAGAAGATGTGAGATAAAGTCTTGCAAGTCTTATGCAGAGATTAGGAGATTCTCACTCCTACTTAAAGCTTTGAAGGCTTTTGGTCTAGTATTATCCTAAATCTCTAGTTGACTAGAGTTTGGGCTAAGGGGGTGAGGGGGAGGAGTAATAAAGTTATGGCTATTAGTGTAGCTAGGGGTAGGGTGGGTTGTGTATTTTGTATACGTCAGGGGGTAGTGGAGTTGTTTATGTTCGGGGAGATTGTTAGTGTTATGGCGTAGCAGAGTCGGAGATAGAAGTATAGACTTAGTAAAGCGCTGAGTGCTATTAGGGTTGCGGTGAGTGGAAGTCCTTGAATAGCAAGTTCTTGTAAAATTAATCATTTTGGTATGAAGCCTGTAAGTGGGGGGAGCCCACCCAGGGATAAGAGGGCCAGGGCGGCCATGGCTGTGGTGGTGGGTGCTTTAGTCCAGCTTATTGCTAGGGTATTAATTTTTGTGGTGGCTATTAACTTAAATGTTAAGAATGTTGCTGATGTTATAATAATGTAAGTGGTTAGTACGAGAATGGTCAGTTGTGGTTTAAATTGTGTGATGATAATTATTCAACCAAGGTGGGCGATGGATGAATAGGCTAAAATTTTTCGTAGTTGAGTTTGGTTTAGTCCCCCTCAGCCCCCGATGAAGACGGACAGGAGGCCCAAAGTTGTAAGTAGGAGGGGGTGAGTAAAGGAGGCTATTTGAATAATTAGTGCGAATGGGGCTAGTTTTTGTCAGGTGGCCATAATTAGTCCTGTAGAGAGGCTTAGGCCTTGCATAACGGGAGGTATTCAGAAGTGTACGGGGGCCAGTCCTACTTTTAGGGCAAGGGCTATAGTAATTAGGATAGTTGCGGCGGGATGAGATAAACAGTGAATGTTTCATTCTCCTGTGGTTCAAGCATTAATAGAACTAGCGAATAAGATGGTTGCTGCAGCTGCGGCCTGGGCTAAAAAATATTTGGTGGTGGCTTCTACTGCTCGGGGGTGGTGGTGTTGGGCTATTAGGGGTAGAATTGCTAGAGTATTAATTTCTAGCCCCATTCAGGCTAATAGTCAGTGAGAGCTTATGAAGGTGAGGGCTGTGCCCAGACCTAGGCTTGATAATAGAATTGTGATGACGTAGGGGCTCATTGGTAAGAGAAGGATTTTAACCTACATTTTTGGGGTATGGGCCCAAAAGCTTAATTTAGCTGATCTTACTAGGAAGTGGTGTAATGGAAACACTTGGAGTTTTGATCTCCATGATATAGGTTCAAGTCCTTTCTTTCTAAGGAGCCGGGGGGATTTTAGCCTCCATTTTTCACTCTATCAAAGTGGTCCTTTAGCATTCAGGCACGGCTCCATTATAGTTGAGGGGGTAGTCCTGTGAGTGCGATGGGCAGGGCGGTGTGTCATAAAATTAGGGCTAGTGTTATTGGTAAAAAATTTTTTCACACTAAATGTATAAGTTGATCATACCGGAAGCGGGGGTAGGAGGCGCGGACTCATAGAAATAACATAGATAATAGGGCGGTTTTTATTATAATATTCATTGTGGCTAGTTCGGGGGCGTGCGGGAAGTGTATTGCTCCTATAAATAAAATAGCGGATAATGTATTTATTAGAAGGATGTTGGCGTATTCGGCCAGAAAAAATAGTGCGAAAGGGCCGCCAGCGTATTCTACATTAAATCCGGATACTAGTTCTGACTCTCCTTCTGTTAGGTCAAATGGGGCCCGATTTGTCTCTGCAAGGGTAGAAATATATCATATAGCGGCCAGGGGTCAGGCTGGAATTAGAAGTCAAATCGCCTCTTGTGTTGTATTAAATATTTGGAGGGTAAAACCTCCTGTGAAGATGATAATTGATAATAAAATTAATCCTAGGCTTACTTCATAGGAAATGGTTTGGGCAACTGCTCGGAGGGCTCCAATTAGGGCATATTTTGAATTTGAGGCCCATCCTGACCCTAGAATAGAATAGACCGCCAGGCTAGAGAGGGCCAGGATAAATAGCATCCCAAGATTTAGGTCAGTTACTGGATGGGGGAGGGGTATGGGGGCTCATAATATTAGTGCTAGGGTAAGGGCTAGCATGGGGGTAGCGAGAAATAAAAATGGGGAGGAAGTTGATGGACGAATTGGTTCTTTAATAAATAGTTTAACTCCGTCTGCGATTGGTTGAAGGAGGCCGTAGGGGCCTACGACATTGGGGCCCTTCCGTAGTTGCATATATCCAAGGACTTTACGTTCAATTAGGGTTAGAAAGGCTACTGCTAGTAGAACTGGTACAATATAGGCCAGGGGGTTAATGATGTGGGTGATTAGGGGGGTTATCATAATTAAGAGGAGGACTTGAACCTCCGGGTGAAAGGGCTTAGGCCTTTTGCAATTGCCGGGCTCTGCCATCTTAATAATCTTATCTTGATACGGGATTGTGCCCTCCCTTTGTTTAATTTAGTTGATGTCATTAAGTTGGGGTGGGGCGTGCTGATAGCATAGGCCCCCCTTCTCCGGTCCTTTCGTACTAGGAAAAGTAGCATTACAGATAGAAACTGACCTGGATTACTCCGGTCTGAACTCAGATCACGTAGGACTTTAATCGTTGAACAAACGAACCCTTAATAGCGGCTGCACCATTAGGATGTCCTGATCCAACATCGAGGTCGTAAACCCCCTTGTCGATATGGACTCTGAAAGGGGATTGCGCTGTTATCCCTAGGGTAACTTGGTTCGTTGGTCGGCAGGTAGCCGGATCTTTTGGTCAGAGATTCTGCGACTTAGAGTTGTCACTCTTGGTTTTAGGGGGTTGCCCCAGTCCGCGTGGGAGCTTTATTTTCTCCCGTGGTCGCCCCAACAGAAGATTGGGATCAGGTGCTACTTAGTTTAACTGGGTTCTTGACGTAGTTGATCTTGTATCTTAAGCTCCAAAGGGTCTTCTCGTCTTGTAGGTGTATGTCCGCTTCTGCACGGGCAGATCAATTTCATTGACTTGAAAGGGGAGACAGCTAAGCCCTCGTTCCACCATTCATACAGGTCTCCATTTAAGAGACAAGTGATTGCGCTACCTTCGCACGGTCAAAATACCGCGGCCGTTTAACATGTCACTGGGCAGGCAAGACCTCCTATACGTTGATTTTTGCAGGAGGCGATGTTTTTGGTAAACAGGCGAGGCTTATGTTTGCCGAGTTCCTTCCTTTTCTTTTAGTCTTTCCTATAGTGCCTTCCGGTGTGGGGTCAACGATTGGGGTGTGTGGGGTTTTCTTGATATTTAATATGTCCACAATGCCCTCTTTAATTGGGTTCGTTAATTGCCAGTGGGGGGTCCAATTTAGCATACACGTAGGCTAGGAGAAGGGGGTTCCTTCTTATTACTCATTTTAGCAGTGTCTCTTCCATGCGGGCATGGATTGGCCTAGTATAATTAGGGGTTTAAGATATAATATT